TTTTTCTAGTCATGCCGCCAAATGTTGATATAAATTTTACAAAAAGTGATACTAAGACATTCTAACACTATATTAAATTAAGAGAGAGTAGAAGTAACAAACAAGAAACACGCGAGCTAGTGATCTGTCGACGTTGTTCTCACGATGTAAAAAGTTTTTTGTTTTTTTTTCCTAGCCAGACACAAATAAAGCGAGAATTTGCAAAAGAACAATACAAAACAAAAAACATGCCAAATTCTTCTCACGCATGTTTGTTGTTTCTTCGCAAGACAGGGCTTGCGATATTTTACCTGTCACTCCTCACGCGTCGTACGGGAAGTTGAGCGTTACTTCTTTACGCGAGGAACAATATAAGACGAATATTTTATCAGGCTATCAAAAACCTATCATGGCAAAGCAAGTCTTTCCCGTCATTATTTTTTTTTCTTCTGTTTTTACGCAACATAATCGGGCTATCCTTTAGCACATTAGGACCAAAGAAACGCAATGCCTGCCAAACTAACAAAAGAGAAGTATTTTTTTCTTCTTTTGTCAGTTATAGCCTCCATATAATACAGTTAAATCATCATGTGTAGCCATATCGTTTGTAATACGAAAGTCGGATTGCCCCACGCGCAACAAAAAATTTTTTTTATCGGATGTTTTGTATGTTTTGCACGAGTTCCGCTCCAGACCGCTCCGATTTTACGCCAAGAGCAGGAAGCAATATAGAAAATTGAACTAATAAAACTATACATATAACCCAATTTGTCTCTATAACACTGTTCCCCGTTACATGCGAAACGTAAAAGCAGACCACAATCACTGAAACACCAATAAGTACGAAGAGCCACGTTCATACGTTCATTCCTAAGTCTCTGATCGCCGATAAGTCGAAAGAAAGCAAGCACTTACCTGTTTCAATATTATGGATCTCTCTCGATATAGCCGTTGACGTTGTTGCTGTCCGTAGCGAACCTGTCAAGGGACAGAGCTGCAGCTGAGTACATCAACGGTTGCATCGCACAGGGACCATGTCGCCGAGGCGAATAAGCTGGGATCCGCGTTTACCGCGCTGCTCGACGTTGCTAGGGGCCAGCAGGGAGATTTCAGCCCGCGCCGACCGAACCGGCACTAGGGAAGACGGGGGAGCTCAGCCACCGAATTCCCTAAGTCAGGGCGAGCCTTCACGCGGAGGACGCGTCCTCTCTCCGACCGTCCCCCAGGCACTCAAACGCCGCCCAGTGAGCTGTACTCGTATCGTTATCCAGCACCAATCTAGCGGCAACTGCGTAAGACACCTGATACGCTATCAACGTCGATTGAAAAAATAAATAATAATAATGTCGTCACTGCAATGAAAGGGAAATCTGGAATTCGTACTTGAGAATGGCGTCTTTGGACTTCTTGTAGGCCGCTTGAATAATGAACTATAGCTTCTAATAGCGCAATTTCTTCTCATTTACTTCCGCGATATTTTTATATGTGCCGTAATATCCCGAGACATAGTCCACCTAAAATCAAGAGAAAATTGGACGAAAATAAGGAGTGGGCTAACTTTCGGCGAGCAATGAAGAAAAGTTTAAAAAAAAATTGTACTTTTAGACCAGTGTCCCTGCAAAACTTCCTATCGCGGCGAATGGCAATGAAGCAAAGATGACTGTACTTCACAGTCAGCAATGTAAGTTAATGTCTTGCTATAGATAACTAGAAGCATTTATGCCGAGGTCATCATTGATCCGAACACTACAATTACTAGAAGTGGGCTATCTTTCGATGTTTAAAAGAAAATAGCAAATCAAGCCAGAAATATGGGTGGGTTACATTTTGGAGGTGAGTCATCTCTCGGGACTTAACGGTAGCAGTTGTTGCCGTTTTTGTTTGCTGATATTGTTTATTAAACTGTTTATTATATTGAGAAAACCACCGGGAACAGTGACCGTCATTTGCCAAATGTAGCCCAGTACCGAAATTCACTTCATTAAAAACTAGAAAAACTGAAAAGGTTTAAATACCAAAAAAGCGTCTTATTTTACAACTGCGACGGTATCGCCGGTAATATAGGTTCTTCAACGCTCGTGGGTTTAGGTGTAACAATAAAGACAGCCGTAATGACTTAGTGCAATAAATATTTCATTATTTGGGAATTTGTTTTCGCAAATCTATAGGGTCATTGTAGTATTTTGAAGGACGCGACCTTCCTTTCTGTGTCAACCGAAGTTGGGCTCTTCTTACGAGGAAAACAGCCGCACCAAATAACAGTTAAGCTTGACACTGAACTGATAGAACTAGCAGTCGTAAAACGGGATAGTGAACCGAACGACATACGCGCTCAGCATCAGGTCGTGCGTAATCATGGCTGGCGCGAGAAAAAAACAAAGAAAAAAACAGAAGCGATCAAAGAAGGCGAAAGTGTCTTTTCGCGACGAAGGACTCATCGCTGAAGGGACCTTCGCATCCCGCGTAGGTACATGAAACATGAAACCACCGCTTGGAGAACCGAGTTTCTTCTTCCGTATACTTGCGCAAACTCGGCAAAGTAGCACAGCAGAATAACTTGCGTCCAATGCTACTACATCCTTATTTTAAAGTAGCAACGCTCCGCAGATAAAACCGTCTATTTTCGTTTTTGTGCGGTTCCTGCAGTGTCGTCGCGTGCTCTCAATTTGGGCGACTCGATAACCGATTCTGGCGAGGAACGTTCGCGATAGCTTCGCGATTACGCCTGACGAGGACCGGCTCACGACGACACAGATGTTTCCATCTCATTACGCGCCCCGTGTCCAAACTGTCGCCATGCACAGCCGTCTGTAGTGCTTACATCACCTCTGCTGATAAGCAACTAGCGGATGCACGTGCGGCGGACGATATTTGGCCGACAAGAGCATGTGCTCAGAGGACGATCCTGAGCTAGAGTAAATGTAGGTGGCAGCATGCAGAAACTCAACACTCGAATGGGCTGCTTTTATCTCCCAGGAAGCGAGCGAGTTAGATAAGGAGTTACGGTGGGATGTCAGGAGGGCCCGAAACGCTTAGGCGTTTTAAAGTGACAAAAACCCTTATTGAGCAGAAATATTTGGCAGCGAAGAAGGCGTTTGGCGCCTTCAAAATTAACAATGCGAATGTTCTTATTAGCTAGTATTTTTATTTCTAGCTCAAACCAAGCGTGCTTGAAACAGGTAGAGACAGCGGTAGAGAGAAAGAATGTGGACTATGTTAAGCAGTCATGGGTACGTGCAGATTGCTTTATTTATTCTTGCGCTTAAAACGTTTGTAGAGTGTTTAAATAAATGTTATTCGTGCTTTAGTAGCGAAATGATTATATTAATACATTTCTTCAAGTATCAATGCACAGATAGACACGTTCCGCTTTCTTTGTATATTATAGTGTGAAGCATTTCCATTAAGAAACACCTTTAATTGACGGCTTACCCAGTCAGTGAGTGATTTGGTTGTAGATTAATTAATTAATTAGTGTGTCTAAACGGCATAAGGCGGTATTGTACAAAGGAATATCGAAATATCCGTTTGACTCAGAGTTCAAGTGAATGCATCGACTGCATATGTGTTTTTTTTTTTTTATTCAAGTACGCAAAAGAAACGCGATTAACACCTACCGGAACAACTTCACGGACGCTTAAGAAAATCATTTGAACGAAAATGGAGCGGTTTCCCCGCTTCATACCATCGATAAAGTTTCGTATTTTCGCTAATAAGTACGCGGATCTGCTATAAAATTCGAGAGAAAAACCACCGCCTCGATCGCGTATACACCGACAAAATTAAGAGGTCCGCTCGCCACAACTGGTTGTCGATACATAACTGGTTCGACCGTCAGAGGTTTGTTGCACCCTGTTGCTACAGAGCACATTCCAATTACATGTACGTTTATCTTCTTCAAACCTTCGATGCCTTTCAAATCTTCATGAGAGGACTCAGACTTTATTCGAGTGTCATACAAACCCACCGTTCTGCCGGGATCCATTCTTGACACGTCTGATGCTTACATGGGACCACACAATTGCTGACCAAACCAAAAGAAAAATCAAGTGTAATAGCAACGATTTGATGCCATATCTTCCTTCGGATGCCCAGTGAAGCGAATGGTGCACTGGGTCACGTACGCGCGTAGTCACATCGATGTGTTCGCACGGGACCAGCCAGCTTTGTTACTTGGCTGTCCGATAGGAGGGACATGCTCGGAGATTACGCCTTAAACCTGTCCGTAAAAGAGAATTTCATGAACATAGCACGTCCCTCGTTTTGGTTTTCGCAGCCCCACAGGCGCCTAGAGCCGAGTGTCGCAAGTGCGCTTGGTGGCGGGCTCGGAAGACGCGCAATTTGAAAAGCAAACGTGCCGCCAAGCGAGGCCCACGGGGCCACGCGACGAAAGGACGGCAAACAGAGGGCCCCGAAGCGACGACCCGACGTGCCGTTTGTCGGTTTCCTCCAGGGCGATCTAATCGCGGGTGGAAAAAGAAGAGCAGCAGGGAGGCAGCGGCCGATTCCTTCCTAGTTCCGTGTGCCCCATTATCATCGTTGTTATATACCGGTGCCTGTTGTCTTCTCAATAAGGTTTACGGCTTCATCCCGGTCCCGGCGGCTCCGCTTTTTGTGGGCCCAAGACACCGAATCCGTCCCTGCCGCCGGGAAATAAAGGAACCAATAAGCGTCAACCTTATAAAAAGTTTCACTTTTCAGGACCGGAAAATAAAAAAGGGGAGGGGGGGGGGGGGGGGGGGGTGGGTGGAGAGGTACCATCGCGGCTCCTATTCAAAACACGTAAAACACTTGTCTCTGCTCGTTATCGGCAGGGGAGCCCTTCCTCGGGAGATCGCAAAGGTGGTGCTATAGGTAAAAACCGGGAGAGACTTTCTCTTTTCGTCAGATGTAGCCCAGGGCTCCTCTTCGGCAAGGGCCCCGCGCCTCCTCGCCAGGAGCCAGTATAAATACAAAGCCCCGCGTCCGCAGCGGTATCGGCAGTCAACGAGCTGCTTTCACAGAGCCCAGAAGCCACAGCCATGAACGCCTTTGTAAGCACTATCTGGAATTCTGCGACACGTGAACGGCCTCGTTCACTTCATATCACGGCTCCGACGCGACGGGGAGCTTTTGAGTCTCGAAAGTGTAACACCGGGGAATCAGCACGTGTGTTACGCAAGCCTGCGCGGAGAAAGCCGGAGGAATGCTAAGCTTTACGATTCCGCTAAATACCCAAACGTGTAGCTATTAGCCAGGCTTGGATTAGCAGATATACTCGCACCAACGAGCGCCTTCTAAAAGTGCACCGATATCACCTTTATATAGACATCCCATTACGCGGGGCGCTTTTGCCAGCAGCGGCTTAAATTTGCGCCAACTCCAGTTTTCCCGCGGTCCATCGTCGTCTGGGAATTTATTGTCCGCCATATGGCAAAAGGTGCTTTCTTCGGAAACCAAACGTTCGTATACTGTTGCAGATCTTCGTAACCGCCTCGGTGATTGCCACCGCCATGGCTGGCGGTGTTGGCGGCGGTCTCGGTGGTGGCCTCGGCGGTGGGCTTGGCGGAGGAGGTGGTCTTGGCGGTGGCCTCGGCCTTGGTGGAGGCGGTGGCGGCCTTGTTGGTGGCGGCCTCGGAGGTCTTGGAGGACTCGGAGGCGGAGGCCTCGGCGGCGGTGTTGGTGTCGGAGGTCTAGGTGCCGTGGCAGGTCCAGCGGTCTCTACGGGTCCCGTTGCCGTCGGCGCGCCTGTGGCTGTCAGCGGCACTGTGTCCATCCCAGCACCCGTGGCAACCCCTGTCGCCACAGTGTCCTTCTTGAGGCAGCCGGTCGTACACCTCAAGTACGTTACTAAGCCAGTGGTAAGCTACGTGAAGCAGCCAGTGGCAACTGTCCACCACGCAATCAGGCCTGTCGTCCACGTCACGCACGCCGTGGCAGCACCCGCTATTGCGGCCACCGGCGCAGTGGCGGCTGCGCCAGTCGTGGTCGGTGGCGGAGGCCTCGGAGGCCTTGGAGGCCTCGGCCTCGGTGGAGGCGGACTCGGTGGACTCGGCGGAGTTGGACTTGGCGGTGGCCTCCTGGGCCTCGGAGGTGGACTCGGCGGACTTGGAGGCGGACTTGGAGGTGGACTTGGAGGTGGACTTGGAGGTGGACTCGGTTACGGCGGCCTCGGAGGTGGCTACGGAGGTGGCGTGCTGCTCAAGGCCAAGGTTCACCGTTAAACAACCCTGCAGTCCACGCAGCCGGTGCTGCGTCGCTTTCAGATACTCTTTTTCTCTGGTGGACTCTGTTCTGTTGTGTCTCTGGGGCCAGCCTGCCGCGAGAGCCTGACGGCCTCGTTTCCGATCGTACCGTTTTCTCTTCATCGTGTATAAAGACGCTTCCTCCTGCTGAATTAAAACGGTTGAAAGACAACCTTTTTTGTCCCGTGCTTTCTTCCCTAACCACCTGTCCTACTTAGGCGATGCGCGAGCCGAAGCTGCTTCCGTCCCACTTACGCGATTCGTTACTCAAAGCTATCTTCCGGATTAGCTCTGCAGGGCCGAAATTCATACACCAAACGAGATTATGTTTTTTGTTTTTTTTTTCCGATAGACTGTTTTGCGCGCTGCAATGCTAACAAGGTGTCGGTGTGACAGGTAAAGGCAAAACACCAAGAAGAGCCCGAATATAAAGGAGGCAATAAGCCTATAACTGTTTTTAATGCTTCCATTTTTTTTGATGAGGCATTAGCTCATATCTTTAAAATTTTCCACAACTCTACGGTGTTCTCGGTTGCGAAAAATATCATCGCACAGTTTAAGTCGCTGAAGAACTGCTCAAGCAAAGTGCGAGAAAGAAATCTGAGGAGGCAAATGCACCAAAAGCAGGAACTAAGGCAAGCCAGACGGCAAGAGGTTTAACACTTGCGCGCCTGCACAAACAACTGGCTTAGATTAAGGTTGCGATAGCTGTCACAAAGTTACGGGCCGAAAGCTGTCTTTATACCTTTCAAATTAGAAGGGGTCTTCGGAACTTTAAGGAAGTAATTATGCCGGCAGTTCTTGAGGCGCCTCTCTTCTCGCAGGTAGTCTGATTCTGTGGAGACGAGCTGAGACACAAAAACAGCGGTTGACTGTAAAGAGGTAAACTTGTGGCACAGCATGTATCTGCTTAACGGGTCTGTGGTACTTTGTAGTAATGACAGACAGCTTAAGTACATTCCTCGGCTTTCCATAATGGTCAGCCTCAAAGAAGCACCTGCACAAAAACTTAACTACTAAAACTACACACAGACGCAGACAAAAATGACTAGTGGATAAAAAGGCGAAGTAGAATATTAAACACATCGCAAAAATTTAGAAACAGACTCACCCCTGGTGACCAAAATCATGAGTTTCTGTGCTATAATTTGTTTTCTGTGTGACCGGTCTCACTTTTAAGGCGTGTCGAGTATGGGATGCTGAGCAATAGTTCATTAAAGATTCGAGATTTTTTTACTGATGCATGAGCCTTTTTTGTTGTTGTTTTTCAGCGCCTAATCAATAGCTATACATTTTGTGAGCACGAGATATCCCAAATGTCCTAATATTTTAAATTTGTTAAAAGCCAAAACATACATGACCGTGTTAACTTCAGCCTTTTCGTTCGTGAATGTTTTTTTTATTTTTTTTTTATTTATATCAGGTAAATAATGGACATTCTAAAACAGCCGGTTTCAGAATTTCAAAAAAAAAAAATCATTCATCGCATCCAACAAATGTATCATCAACCATCAATTGCAATTCCAGCGCCAAACGCGATCTGATCTGAAACCTAAAATCACTTCTCAATATGACTGCTTCAACTTAATTTTTGCTCTTCGTTTTTCATGCAGGACACAATCGTAACGCTGCTAAATCTATTCATTTTACTTGTTTCTGTTGTGTGCAGATTATAGCAAATGTTTAAAGCAATAATAAAAAAGAGCGGTGTTATTCAATCAGATTTGCGTAAATGTGCAATGGGCGCCAAAAAAAAAACACACACACAAAAAACGGTCTGACATAACGCCATCGGGACTGGACGTGCTCCGTAGATCGCAGTGATTGGCCCATCACGTGCTCTTAAGGAAATGACGCACGAACGAAGAAAACAAACTTCCGCTGCTAAAACCGCTTCTGCTAGGCAAAGTCGGTTTCAAGAGCTGCTAACTGATGGCGGAGAGTTTGTTACCTGCAGTTACTGAAAATCACTGCACACAGCTTTTTCCGTTTTTTTTTTTTTTGTTTTTTTTTGCATTGCCGATATTAAGTTTACAGAACACGTGATGACCAAAAGACATTACGACTTCGGACATGAAATAATGAAGGCTGCTTAAGGTAGTGCGTGCTTGAAGGTGTCTAAACTATTCATACTTTAACAAAAATAAGTATCCTGTAGTGCGGCTTTGTTCAATTGCCCAAAATTTTCAACTGACCTCTGTACCAATTTTAAATCCGTTTCAGTAGTCTCTGTTCTATTTCTTCGTTTCAATCCAAAGAAAGAGGTACCTGATCTTTGTTTATCCCTTTTTTTTCATCTGGTTTGCGAAAATAACAATGTAGTCTAATATTTAAAGACTAAATACTATTGGAACATTATAAAGAGCAAGATTGCTTCAAGATGAACTAGCTAAGTCTAGGTGGCCTTCCTTCGCCTTTTTTTTTTTATTAACTCAAAAATGTTCTTTTTTTTTTGGGGGGGGGGGGGGGGCTTATATCGCATTTTAAAGTATTAAAACAGACTGTACAAACATACAACTTTATAATTGTCAGTATATTATGTTTTGACGTTCTTGTTCAACGATCAGTACTGCAGACCGCGTTCTATTCGGGAATGTAGCGATTGCGCAAGGGGACGTATTACTTATCCTGTGCACTCTCTGCACAGGAACGGATCTCCTGCAAGCGCCTCTGCCTTCGCTTGGGAACCGGCATCTCCGGATACGCACGAATGCTGCTTCAGAATCTACTCCGCCCGATTACAAGTCGTGGCAAGATTGCGTCACGCGGAAGTGGCTCCGTTGCCGAGATCGTACCGCTTCGTGTCGAACGGTCGCACGGCTTAAGCTTGGATCTTAGACGGACTCAAGGGCAGGAATTAATGGCAGCAGTGATGGCGCCCTGGATCGGAACATTTGGATTGGGATTTCCTTTTCCAGGTGATGGCCCAGCGCACGTTTCTTAAAACACTTCTTTTTGCTTATACTGAAATGCTCAGCACTGTAATCCCCGAAATATATTTATTGAAAAAACACCCAGAGAGCATTATATTTGTTTCTAGCACAAGTATTCGTACTCTCCAGTCGTTTTATATAATACATTTTTATTTTCAATTAGGCGCTTAATAAAACGATACAAAAAAAAGGTGCACATCTGCAGTTTGACGAATCCTCGTCCCTCACCCGACAAAATGGGAACAGTTCCGCAGTTTATTTATTCTAGCGAATTACTTCTCGAATTCTGCGGATCTCTGCACCATCTCAACAAGTATTGTATTGCACATCAAGGTATGATGTCTTGACGTTTGTATCAATATATATATATATATATATATATTAAAATTCCGAAAAAAGCCTTTGTGAAATCTGCGATTGGTCGATATTCACAAGTTATGTCGTACGTGAAGCACGTGGGCTTATGAAACAACGCAAAATGAATTAATGAAAGGGAACCCACTGAAGAGCTTTGCTATAACTCCCCGTGTGACACTTAGCGCGTGCAAAGGAAGCTCGAGGAAGAGTAACAAAAGTCGGGCCTCGGCAGATTTCCATCGCCTCGGCAAGAAGCAAATTGCAACTCTTGAGTCAGTCCTCCTTTCCAGAGCCCGCGGCAGTTCCTAATGCGAATGTGTTCCGACAGCACCTCCAAAGTACCGCTGACCGGTCCGCAGAAGGCCCATGTAAATGCTCCGCCACCGCATTCGGCCAACAAGAGGAGAAGCACAAACGCGCTCGCAGCAAAGCAACGCCCAATGAGCCTTGATTCAGATTGGGGGACCAAACTCAAATTCGCCTTCCGTCCACTCGAAATAGGACCCCAGCCCCGGCGAATGCGGCGCGTTCGGGGAGCGTGCCTCTAAATAAAGACCTGTCGAGGAGGATCCAAAACAGGACAAATGCAGAAAACCGGACTCCGCCGATATTCCCGACACGTCTGCTGGATAATGCGTTGGAGCAGCTTTTTTATCGTGGACGCTTTTGAGGCGGGCAACAACAGGGGCCGATCGCAACGGAGCCACAGGACCTAGTTGTCTTGGAAACACTTTTTGTCTTTCCGGGAACCACGTGGTGCAGGTCCCCGCCTTTCCGTCTCCGCCGGGCGCCTTATATATAGCGAGTCGACCGCATTACCACGGGATGCACAAATGAACGCGAGCGGCAGGTTCCAGCATGCTGCAAGTCGTGAGTGGCTCAAGTCTTTCCTTTCGAATGAGTGGCCATTGGCATGCACCTCACATGTGCCTCGAACAATCCGCCTCAAGAGTGTCCATTAAAAGACTCTAAGCGCGCACGTGCAGCTGCTTCTTTTTAAACGACGCCGGCTCGTGTCCTGGCCATGGTAGACGGCTACCAGTGCCATCGCACGGGTCGTAGAGTTTTCTCCGTGGTGTTCCTTATTCTAAGGTCGCTTGTTCGAATCACGCCCGGGTCATTTATATGTGCAAGCTGTCTACCGAAAGTGTTTTTCTGCTGTATTTACACTAAAATGACGAAGTAGTTGTCGTAGGGCCTATCACCCAATCAGCGGACAGGTGAGGATCGCTTCTCGCGCCAAGTGCCTGCATGTCGTCTGCCCCCTGGAGCTGCTCGCCACAGTACCAACTTCGGCGTGATTAAGGCCTGCTCACACATACAGCGCTCATTCGGTGCTGATTCAGCGCTGAAAACAGCGCTTTGTCTTAGCGTTGATGTCGCACTTGCTGACACAGTGATGATAGAGCTGATATAGCGTAGGTGAGGTGTTTCAGTGGCGCCGTTTCGCGTTTCGTACCTGAGACGTTACAAGAATGTCTCACAGTACCTATGATTCCGGTGACTTCCTCCCGTTCGATATGAACATGTTAGATGGTGTGCGCAAAGAACACTGTAAATACTGTAAATCTTGTCTTTCTCGGAACGAAGTTATCTCACTGCGGAAGCAGAGAAAATCTGATTCTGCGCCAAGAGCGCTTCTATCGCCAGCTATTGACTTTTCTGCGACCAGCTAGCTAGCGGTATTTCAAGTTGTGGGAGGAAACGTCAGCGATGAGAGGAAAAAAACTACATTGCTAAATCAACTCTATATTCGGGGCTAATTGCAGCTCTTATTCGGCGCTGCATCTAACATGTATGAACCGGCACTAAGATTCTTTTTACGTTCGCGAGAGCAATATGAATTTCCGTACGCGCGAGTAATTAGAATGTTGAAATGTTCCCAAGGGTAATTTGCTACGAGATCACAGGAGCTCGATTAAAAAAAGAAACAAAATTCTTTATATTTAAGTTTCTCTTTCCCGCTCCGTTTATAGTATGTGGTGGGCTAGCCGTACGCACCCGATAATCTAAACATCATTTGTAGTTCACAAATACGCGAGGGAGCGCAAAACACGGTGAACTCTAATAATCGATGGTCTATTTCTCGAAGAGGAAAAGGCTCCCACCCTAAACACCTCGGGTGGTGCTATAAACGTAGGTTGTAAAGTTCGGTGCTCGACGCGGCATAAGCTGAACGCTAGCGAACGCCGATCCCGCATTCGAGCTCTCTGTTTCGCGCTGAATGTATACTTCCCTGTACAAACAAGGCAGGAAATCGGAATATTCTGACACAAATAAAGCGTGACAGACGAGGTAAAAGCTCTCGGTCGTCTCGGTGCCTTGGGGTAGAAACAATTGCCTCGCAACCAGGATGTTAGTGAGACGGCAAAAGTTTGGAACTGGCAAAGCTTGCTGTGTCTTAGAGGAACTCGTATATGTGACCAAACGACACCGTGTATGATGCAAGATGTATATTTGGCCTGCGAAGTTGCGCCCGCGTTATCCTAGAATGGTATTTTGAGCACGGTGAATATGACAAACATGTAATGCGCCTAAACGATCTGCTATTTCAGGTGGGAAGCAAGAGATGGTTTGGTTGTTAGGGGTGAATTTGTTGTGCTTGCAAACGGGCTGCAATGTCGTGGTCGATATTCTCATTCCAGACTCAGTTCGTACAGATCCATACTCAACGTTTTACCACTAGGATGAATACCGAAAGATTCATTTCAGTATAAAAGAACTCGTAAGCCGGGGTCCCACTGCGCATGCATCATACAAAGGACAGTCTGCAAACGCGGGTCACCGCAATATCCGTGGTTCGAATGCCGCGTGCCAAGTTCATCTCATGAACTAATTTTCATGAGGCATTCGAAGCACGGATCTTGCGGTGACTCGCGTTCGAATCTGTATGCAGACTGTCTTTTGTATGATGTATAAGCAGTGTGACCCGGCTTTAGACTGGATAACACTCATAACAAAGAGACACATGTGTGTGTGTGTTCCGTTCTGTACTCTTTCGGTCTCATGAATATATTTTTATGATATGACATTATAAAGAGCAAGCTTATTCTTTAGGTGTCATATCAAAGATGTGAACCATCCGATACTGTCATTATTCACTTCTCCGCAATGTCAATTTTTTTCACAATTAAATTACAGTAAGCCCAATTTACTCATGCGTTCATTTTTTATTACTCATCGCCACTCAATTTTATTTATTAAAGCTGCAAAAGACAAATATCATCTTAGTTGCATATATGTCACTCGTAACGTCATGTAACACCCATGTCATTGAAAGAAAATAGCTCAAGTTCCTAACGCACATAACCGAACCTTTTGCAGGTCATCACCAGCTTGGGTCTACTAGTCAGTGCCTACGCTGGTGACATCGGAGTTCTCCCAGCCACAACTCTCGGCGTGCACGGGTTACAGGGTAATCTCGAGGGTATTGGTGGCTTCGGCGGATACAGTGGACTCGGTGGGATCGATGGACTTACTGGTGCGACACTACCCAATGGGTTCCTTGGTGCCGGTGGAACCATGCAAATCCACAGCATTCATGCATGTTTCGGGTCTTGGTCATTTCGCAGGACTCGGCACCGGAACCTATGCCGCTGGTGGTGGTCTGGAATCCGGACTTGTGAGTGCCGCCAAACTAGCAGTGGGTGGAGCTCTGGCCAGTGACGGAGGCCTTGGAGTCGGGGGGCTTGATGTCGGAGGCCTCGGTGGCGCCGGCCTCGTTGGTGGCGTTGGTCTTGGAGGTCATGGTCTCGAAGGCGGTGGTCTCGGACTCGGTGTTCTCGGAGGCAGTGGTCTCGGAGGAGCTGGTCTCGGACACGGAGGAGGCGGTTTGAAAGCCACCGGCGTCACATACATAGGAAACGCCGGTGTCGGGTACGCGGGCGACGGTGCTGGAAATGGAGGAGGCGGCGGTGGCGGACATGGAGCAGGAGGTGGCCTCGGAAACGGAGGAGGAGGGGGCGGATACGGTGGGGGAGGTGGCCAAGGCAATGGAGGAGGAGGAGGCGGATACGGTGGCGGAGGTGGCAACGGCAACGGAGGCGGAGGAGGTGGCGCTGGATACGGTGGGGGAGGAGGCTTTGGGAACGGAGGCGTAGGCGGATACGGAGGAAAGGGGGGTGGATATGGAGGAAAGGGCGGCGGATACGGAGGGGGCGGCGGTGGGTATAGAGGAAACGATGGAGGTGGTGGACTTGAAAACGGAGGACAAGGTGGCGGATACGGAGGAAACGGAGGAGGTGGCGGCCTTGAAAACGGAGGGAACGGAGGAGGATACGGAGGTCAAGGAGGAGGTGGTGGCCTTGAAAACGGAGGTAATGGGGGTGGAGGATATGGTGGACAAAATGGTGGAGGCAATGGTGGATATGGAGGTGGACATGGTGGTTTTTCAGGGAACGGAGGTGGAGGGGCCGGGGGTGGATACGGAGGTGGCAACGGCGGATATGGAGGTGGTGGAGGAAAATACGGAGGAGGTGGGGGTCTAGGAAACGGAGGGGGTGGAGGATATGGTGGAGATAACGGTGGTGGGTACGGAGGCTTAGGGAATGGTGGGAACGGGGGAGGTGGGGGTAGGGAAGGAGGAGGAGGCAGTAATGGTGGTGGAGGATATGGCGGTGGTAATGGCGGTGGGGGATATGGCGGTGGTAATGGCGGTGGTAATGGCGGTGGTAATGGCGGTGGGGGATATGGTGGTGGTAATGGTGGCGGAGGATTTGGAGGTGGTAATGGCGGTGGGGGATATGGAGGTGGTAAAGGCGGTGGGGGATTAGGAGGTGGAAATGGTGGTGGAGGATTTGGAGGTGGAAATGGTGGTGGGGGATTTGGAGGGGGTAAAGGTGGTGGTGGATTTGGAAATGGCGGTGGTGGCTATGGAGGAGCCGGTTTCGGGGGCGGTGGGGTAGCATTAGGAAATGGAGCTTTCGCTACAGGTTTTGATGGGGATTACGGAGGCGGCTTTGGCAGTGGTTTCCACGGTGGTTACGGTGGTGATTTTGGGTATGACCTTGGTGGTCCCTTACCTTATAAAGTAATCAAGGTTAAAAAGCCTCATCATCACTACAAGTACGTAAGCAAGCCCGTTTTTAAATACATCAAGCATCCGTTTTCAAAGTTTCACCATCACATCGGGCCAGTTGTAACGTACAAACACGCAGTGCAACACGTCGATGACAACGACTGGGACGACGAACACGAGGGAGAGGCACATTCATACGGAGACCATGACGGGAGGCTCCGTGGCATTGGCTTCGGGGTGGGATTCAAGATCCCTATCCTCAACCTCGGGGTGCAGTTCACGAAGAAGGTGAAGAAGCTGCACTAGACCATCGTGTGGAGGCCAGCTGTGCTTTGTGGACACTTCTTGTACATGCCATCGTCGACAACTTCATTTGCATCAAAATAAAAGAAAAACACAAATAGTTCAGGGCCTTCAGAACGACGTGACAGATGGAACTCGTCATCCTTTCGAGGGAAACTTATCTCTCCAGATTTCTGGCTGAAGTTGCCATAAGCAAGATAATTACGTTGCGATAAAAAAAAACAGCAACACTTGTTCGAATCCAAAATGTCGACATGGCTTATGAGACGGTTGTTTGCAACTACACCTATACAAGAAAAACAACGCTTCCCAACATGCTGCCTAATGTTAGTCAAAACGTGTGCGAATATATTCAGCTATTGGGTTGAGGTTACAACGCCGTGCACGGGTAGAGATCGCATTGACTAAGCAGTACTGACTCCTATACTAACTGCGCGTTGTATAGGAGCCATTTAAACTCTGAATAAAAGCTTTCCCAATCTTCGATCAATCTATATATTACATACATAATATGACTAATTGTTTCTACGTCTGCCTGTCCGTCTGATCGTCTGCTAAATGTGTTTTTTTTTTTTTTGTTTCTGTATCGCGAAATTTCAGCCGGGTTGCAATCATGAGGTAAACACCAGCGAACTCAGCAAGGGCTAACAAACGCAAAAGGTAACATAAATAAAACCTCAGACTACCTTAGACCCCCCCCCCCCCCCCCCCCTAAGGAAGGAGAAATACTACACCCACACCCATCCACCAGGTGTGTGCTTTTTTATGTATTCCTTTTTTTTTCTTTCTCTCTCTTTCTTTTTTTCTTTTTTTGCCTGAGGTTTTAGTTAGGTGCGATTCTAACCTGAGGGCCCACTATTGTTTAATTAAGGGCAATAGTTTCAATCGTGCCTTGAGGGAAGACATATTGCCTTTCCCTCACCATTTGTCTGGTCAAGGCCGCGATTCATGGAGGTGTTAATTACAGGTCCAAAAGCAAGCAACTATGCTGAAAAGGTTGTTTAAATAAGCATTTATTACGTATCGAATGTCACACACGGTAGTCAGAAGAAAGAAGATAAAAATATTGACCGGCCATGGTGCCGGAGAACCATGGTGAATCCCTTTGCGGCATCGACGGACGCGAAGCAGCTCGCAGTTGCGAAGCGACCGGTTTCTGTCAGATGGCCGTGCACAGACCATCTGTTTAAGGGCTATCCTTTTACCTCAATAACTCAAAATTTGACATCGCAGTAAGATGATGATATCCAGGCGCCTTAACTTCACATTGCACACGTGCTGGAAATTGAAGCGCGCTGTATGGAACCCAATCACAACATTCCGAGCATCAATTCCATTTTTTTTTTAACGCGTCGGCATTAGTACCCAGATGACAGGGAAAAGTTGGCGGCGTCCGTCTGTGGACAAAGCAGTGGAAAGGGAAGCGCGCCACGTAGAGAGGAGGCGAGGAGCGAAGGACGAAAGGCGAGAGGGAGGTGACGTCACGGGGCGGAAGCCAATGCCGATGCGGGGGAGAGTCTGAACTTGCAGGTGTGCGGAGCGCGTATGCCTTGGTTTGTGCTATAAAAATTAAAGGAACATCCATTGGTGGATTCTTAGGGAATCAATTAGCATGACCCTTGGGAAACGCCACACACGTCCTCCTTTGGGAAACGCTAAAACTCTCCGACTCCGTAAAATGAAGCCAAAAAAGAGGCAGCAAGAAACAAAAACCTCCACGTGGTGAATGATGTTGATTGGGGCGAAGCTCTGGTGGTGCTGATGATACTGATTTTGTTCATATATACGCATCTGAGCATTTGACCGCAGCGTCCTCTTGTCTATGAACGTTGAGCCAATACATGCAAAGTTTAACGCGATCATATACGCATTAGACCGCAGCGCCCTCTCCTGTATAGACGTTGAGCGGCTACATGCAACGTTTCATCCATGACATCCCCAGCTCTTGAGTTACTACCACATCTCAGAGCCCCCTACTCGTCCCGCAGTCGTGGCCGAGTGGTTAAGGCGATGGACTAGAAATTCATTGGGGTCTCCCCGCACAGGTTCGAATCCTGTCGACTGCGCAAACATTTTCTCCTTTTTTAAGAAGACAGATGGGATGGCAATTGATGTAAGCACGGACGCCGGACAAGGCTAGACCCTAAGGAGCTTCGCCCCTAATAGAGGAAGCCAAAGAGAAAGCCAAAACAGAAAAGTGAACAGGTCAGATTAGCGTTTTCCAAAAGGGGGGCGTGTGTGCCGTTTGCCAAGGATGCATGCTAACGCATTCCCTAAGGAGTCATCAATGGACCTTCCTTTTCATTTTTTTTAATAACGTAAGCTACCGTTTACGCGGACAGATACCTAATTTAAAGGCTTTTGACCCACTATATAGTAAGGTAGGCTGGATTTCATACGCCGTGTTAATAGGGAGATTTCGTAGATCGTTTTCGACGCCCCGCAACGCCCTCCGCAACCCACTATGATACGCAGAACTCTACAGTCAAGGCCATCGGCGCGCAGGCGCAGTAGCGCTTCTTCGTTGCAGAGGGCTTAGCGGAGGGGGAAACGCGGACTACGAAAACTCTCTAATAAAATCGACAGTTAGCGTTTGTTTTAATTTGATGATTGCAAACGGGACCGGCTGCTGTTGCGTAGTGCTAGCATGCGATCGCACTTATCTCATGCATGAGCCTAATCGTTCATTTTCAATATACCCTGCCTTTGATAAGCCCTTGAGCTTCAAGCTCGGTATGCTACCGCTCAGTGCCCGTTGATCCCGTTGTCACTATGACGTTTCCCAAGGTTACAGCTCTTCGGAGAGCTCTCCACGTGTACACACACTCAATCGAGCTTAAAGACTTATAGAACACGCGCAGTGACTTTCGGACATATGCATATAAACACAAATACTCGAAAACAAGGAACCAAGCTGCGAGAGAACACCACACGACACGGCAACGGGAAAAGCGCCAGGTAGAAATGTGCCTCCGCACGCTTCAGTGTGCACACCGAAAACACCGCGATAGCGGCCACGGAAGGACCGCACTGAATGGTGACGTCATGCGAATACTCCATATGGGTATCGAAGACAGACCATCTGTAGAACTTCACAATGGCAGTCGGCCTGTCGCTAAAAGACAGCTTCTTTGTTTATAAAAAAAAAAAAAAATTTGCCCTACATAAGCCCTTCACGCAACGTCTGAAACACTGCAGAATGTTTCTTTGGGATTCTTCCAGCCAGCTGTCGCTTCCTGCACGGGGAAATAAGAGAGGAAGACTCGGAAAGGAAAGAGAAAGGTAATAGTGGCAATATAAGAAAGGAAAAGGGAAGCAGATGTACTGAAAGGGAGGGAAAGAGGGAGAGTGGGAGGGGTGGGAGGAGGGACTAGGAAGGCGAAGAGGAATGGATTGACCTGATCCAAGGGAACAGGATATTGGAGAAGAAGATAGGCAAAGAAAACGCAAGAATATTACGGAAGAAAGAGTGGCGAAAGGAGAGCTGAGAGACTTCTCTTTATTCCGAAAATAGAAGCCGGTGTATCAGATTTTCTGAGGACGTTTATCGCAGGATCGCAAAGCAGACACCAAAGCACTCCACAAAGAGCACGTACTGAGCCTGTAGATATAAACACACACACGCACAAAAAAAAAAAACTGAATTTAGTTTATGCAGTTGTCTATTATTTTTTGTGAGCGCATTTGTTTGTTTATTTATGTAAAAGAGTCGCACATTGATTCCTGAGTAACAAAATCTACAGATGCAGGCGAGGCGGCTCATTTTTCTCAAAAGCTTCAAGCGCCCTGAACCGGACTGTCATTTCGCCTGAGTGACAAGAAAGGACGTGATGCGAGGCGGCGATTCCAATCCGTCCACGAAAAGGGACAAAGCCTAACATATTCATAATGCATGGGTTGAAATATCTAAGAGCGATCGTTTAAATTTCAGGAGATATCAAAGGTTTGTTTCGGGGGGTAAAGAAGAACATATATTGTTTATTCATTTGTACTGCCCTCTTGAACAATATCACCATGCACTGTGGAGAGTGTCGGCATGTTCTAGCTGTAGTAGTAGACATAGGGAAAACACCTTAGCCGGTGCAGGATCAGAGTCGTTCAGCTGGCATAGAAAATCTGGGCACGACTCCTGATGGGGGATTGCTTTGTATTGATCTAATTCAGAGTAAGTGCCATTGTCTTACTTATATTGCCACGGTAACCAAACCCGTTGTGCTTAAAGCCCCTCTATGCACTATAAAACAAACGCGATTCATTGTTATAAGTGGTCCTAATCGTCAGCCCTTTGCTCAAAAAACAGCGTCATGCATCCAGGAAGGGAGAGTTTGGGAAAGAGACTTGACTTGGTGCTACCATGCCCTGTAATGAGGTAAACGTGTGGACGCACAGACGGACACCCTCCTGGGATTCTAAAGGGACGCTTTAAAGCAAGTCGAAAAAGGCATGATTATGATTGCCGACTGTTTTCCTCTTTAACTTAATGATAGCTTTTATGAACAAGTGGCACTGGCTGTGCAGCGCCGGCTGACAGTTCAGAAAATAGAATATGCGCTGTGTACGTGTCATTAGCACCGACGCATTTTGCTGAAAAAAGAAAAAAAGAAGTAGACACCGACATCCTTTCTACATTGCAGCATTAGAATGAAATTATTGGTGTGGAGTGAATAACGAAAGTACACGAAGATATCCGTCATCAGAATGTACCCATGATGCAACCAGATATACCTCTAGAAACATTTAGGGGTCATTGAAGCTCAAAATCGAATATTCAGAACGGAGTAAATACATTTTAATAAAACAAAATACTTTAAAGAGCGAATTATCGACACATTCATTTGAGACTATACAGCGAATATACGGAGGTACCTTCCCCCCCCCCCCCCCAAAAAAAAAAGAAAAAAAAACGCCTCTAAATTTTTTTTTCGGTGCCCTGCATTAAAAAAAAGTGAGGTGCTTTCCATTCGTTCCAGATGGTGCCAGAGCCATCGACGAAAAAATAGTAA